TTTTTTTTTTTTAACTCTATGGCATGCCTACCAAAGACAGTATTATAAGATAATTCCAACCATAGACAAGGTTTGGTTGGCACCCTTCTTTCTATCTAATCTTTTTTAAAATTTATTTTGTAAAGCTTTTTTGAGGTATTATTGAAATATAGTAAACTATATATATTTAAAGTGTATGATATGGTGAGTTCTGACATAAGCATACACTCTGCTTATGAAACCATCACCCCAGTCAAAATAATGAATATATTCATCACCCTCAAAATGTCCTCCATGAGGGCACTATGGTTGGTCTGTGATAGCTTTGCAAGTAATTTTGACTCTCATGCCCACTGTGTGATATTAGGCAAATAAATTAACCTGTTTAAGCCTCCTTTTCTTTATCTGTGGGAATATTTATTCCACACGACTATAGTGAAAATAAATGAGATCCTATAGGGAAATTACTTGGTATTTTTCTGGATATGCAGGAGGCAATTAACAAGTATTGGTCACTCATGCTTCATTGATATAATGAGATGGTTACTGAAAGGTAGGACCCAACTCTGAATTTATAACTTTTTATTTATTATTATTATTAACAATTTTGTGGCTGAATTGGTCATTTTGCCTTTTTTCTTGTAGCATATCAAGTGGTCTTCATGACAGTTCACTAGAAAAAAAAAGCTACGTTGCATATTTTAATTGGTTTTTAAACATTTAACCTAAAAGAGGAAAATTGAGCTTCTAGGTTATTATTTAATGTGGGAAATATGTGCTTCCTTTGGGAGTTGGACTCTTTTACTCCACAGTGAAGTCTAAGTAGCACTGATTTGCTGTGTTGTTTCCCAATACAGGCAGCTGCTAGAGAAGAAATCCTCGCAAATGGAGGGAGCCTGTCACATCACCATGGAGGTATTCTTTTCATCAGTAGAATTCTAATATTCTTTCTTTTAAAAATATTTGGTTCAATAACATGCTGAAGGAGTCACGATGTGAATAATTCGAGTGCACTTGGGATTTCTCAAAGACTTTGTCTCATAGAATAGCTGTCACTGAAGTGAGTAGGCAAGTTGTGGTAGTAACCATAAGAAGCTTACTTTGACAGGCCTTCCTAGGTATGGAACTTAGCCAGCCTTCTGAGTTCGCCAGGACTTCATGTTACCAGAGACTAGCCCAGCTTGCCTGGGAGGAGTTTGACCATTACAGCAAACGTTTTTAAAGGGGAAGAAAACCTTACATAATGCTTTTCAGCCACTATTGGAAGGTAGCTGGACAGTAGTATTGAAGAGCTATTTATTCTGCCTACCCAAAGTTCAGCAAGTTACGATAGGATTCGAAAAAATCTTTTTTTCAAGATTTTAATCCTGTTACTGCTTGATGGTCATTTTGGTGAGTATCAAGTTTTATCTGAGAATTTATCACATCACCAAATAAAAATTATTTGGATATATCTACTTTTGTAACGAGCAGGCTGTGAAAGTAACATTAAGTGATCTTTTTATTTATTTTTTGTTTTTATTTTTTTGAGACAGAGTCTTATGCTGTTGCTCTGGGTAGAGTGCCATGGCATCACAGCTCACAACAACCTCCAACTCTTGGGCTTAAGCAATTTTCTTGCTTCAGCCTCTCAGGTAGCTCGGACTATAGGCTCCTGCCACAATGCTCAGCTGTTTTTTTGTTGCAGTTGTCATTGTTGCTTAGCTGGCCGGGGCTGGGTTCGAACCTTCTAGCCTCAGTGTATGTGGCTGACGCCATAACCACTGTGCTAAGGGTGCCAAGCTGACATGATCTTTTTAAAACTTAGACAGTGGTTCTTTTGTCACTAAAAATTTTTAATGTAATTTATAAGGTTATCTATTCTCTATAACAGAAATTTGTCCTTAATATATCTGTCCTTCAATATGCTTAGGGAAATAGAATGGTATAGACATTTTTTAGGAAGGAGCATGAAAATAAATGATCACCCTCCTGTGGCTTCTCTGGACTCCTCGTATCCTTCTTTTCCTATTTTATTTTCCTTCAGAGCATTTATCTAATATCTGTGTATTTGTACTTCTTAAGATTATCTCTTCCTACTAGAAAGTGAGAATCCATGAAGATGGGGGTTTTTGTTTTATTTGTGGTTGACCACTAGCATCTAGAACAATGATTCACCCCATTAGCCCTTCGTACATTTGTACAGAATGAATCAGAGAATTTTGGTGGAAGAAGTAGTGGTCTATAAAGTGTCTGTATCCATGTGACTTTCTTGTCACCAGACCTGGAAAAGATTGCTCATGTAGATGAATGAAATAGAAAGATATTTCCCAATATCATTGGAAGATCAATTTAATCTTTTGGTATCTCTTTACTTTTTTCTTAACCTATACAAATAAATTTTTAACTTAGTTGGCTGGTAAGCATTAAACTGAATTCTTTTTTCTATTTATTATTCTTTTCTTTGATGGACATTCTAAGGAATGTTAGAATGACAGAGATAAAGAAGGGGGGAAAATGGATATTTAGAATCCTCTTTAAATATCTAATCTTCTGATTAGTTTGAAAGTCTAAACTTCATTTTGGAAATTAAAACATGAGGTATTTCATGAAGCTACTTAGATTTTTGCCTCTTCCTTTTAAATGTTCAGAAAGGCAGTATACATGATTTTAATTAAATCTTTTATTCTATTTCAGGATGACTCTGTATTAATATATAAGGAACTTTTAAAAAATACATAATACGAAGTATTTTATGCTCTTTATTGTAAATTGATTGCATGGTGGGAAAGGAAGCAGAATAATTTAGCTGTAATTACCTGTTTGAACAAAACTTAAGATTTTTCCTTTGTAGCCAATAGTTTTGTCCTGTGGTACATGTCAGCAATTAACAGTGCCTCTCCTCCTTTAAAATCCGAAAATGTGGGTTCTGTGTTTATAATTGTAAATATGGGAGAGAGCTGATTCTACCAGAGGGTGATAATAGCTGGATCATGTGTATAAGGAGAAAATAAAGGTCATTTGGGTAATTAGTTATTAGATGAGCTGTATCCTTAATTTGGGGATGATATTCTCAGTTCACTCAAGCCAAGTGTCAGAAATTCTGTAGAAAAAAAAACTAAGAGTTTTTTCCTTAGTCAGTGACTCTTTACTTCTTTAGGATCTCTGAGGATATTCAGGTCCCTCCGGTAGTGTCTATTCGTGAGCTGCAGAGAGTGTAGTATGGGAGAACTGCTAATGTTTCTATTTCAGACATGCCCGGAAACTGAAAGCTCCCTGGTAGGCTTGAACAGAGCCTGCAGAAACATTTTTGAAATAATTATGTCTGTAAAGTTTTCATTACAGAAAAAAGGAAACACAGTAGAACCTCCATAGCTGACCACCTCCTTAAGTTCACCTAATTTTCATAGATTGGACATGCACCACATGTACGCAGCAGTACAGTAGGCCTGGTTCCTTTTGTTGACCACCACCATATGTTGACCAGTTTATTACAGTCCCTTGGGTGGTTCTATTGAATACAGAAATTTAGAATAAGAGAATTAAACAACTCTAGTACAGATTTATTTGAAACTGATTTTATTGTGAAAGCTTTTTGAAATTGATTTTATTTGTGAAAGCTAAGGTAATGGTCCCTCAAATTAATGAATACACAGAAATACAGGTTAAAAAAAAGTTGAAAAATGTAAACCTTAATCTCTAAGGAAATGATTATTCAGTTCTGGAGCACAAAGCAAATAATATAATTAGTTCCTTTAAATTTTTGATATAAAGTATGCTTAATGCCTTTTAATGTTGTATAATCTGTTTTCCTTATTGTAAATATTATTGACCTGCTAGACCATTAGGGTTTCAAAAAAATGACAGTTCTTTCCCTAAGGGCCTTATAGTTCAAAAGAATAAAATAAGGCATTTCAAAAGCTACTAATCAAAACTCCTAGGATTATATCACCACTTCAACAAAGGCAAAAGTCTACCCTTTTCTTTGAAAAGAACTCAAAAGGTGATTTAATAAATATGCAAATAGTATAGATGTTGAAACAATGGGGAGAAGGGAGATAGAATAATAAAGGAAAATAATTAACATTTATAAAGCTATAAATGTTCACTGGATTCTCTGCATAACTTACTCTCCTTTAATCATGCTTCAAATGGAGTGGAGTAGATATTATTTCTTTTAAGTGAAGACGCAGATTCTGAGTATGAAGTAATTAGCCCAGAAGATCAGCAATAATTGTTAGGGCCAGAATTTTAATTTGCTCTCATTTCTTCCTGACTCAGTATCCCTGTCTTCTGAATTAAAAGCCTAAAATATGTGAAATATGTAAAAGCTGAAAAGATTGAAATTGACAAGCTTTGAAAAGAGACACATAATTAATTTTAAGAATGGATATGAAAAGAAATGTTATACCTCACCTTTTTTATTTTAAAATTTAAAACTTGTTTTAATTTTGACATTGTCTAAAATTAATTACTTGCCCTGCATTAGATGAAACAAGTGAACAGAAAGAATCAAAATTTTTAATTTCCTGATCATAGATATTTTTTTCTCAATTCTTGCTCATGCTCATAAGTCACTTTTCTGTTTGTTTTTATTCTTCTGATTGTAGATTCGTAACATATAAAATAAAACAAATGCAAGTCAGGTCATGTTACAGTAAAACTACTAGTCTAATTTATGTGCATTTTCAGGTTCTAGGCTTTTATTTGTTGAAGAATGCAAGTTTAGTGAAACAATTTATTGCTAGAAATTATTGGTGTAAAGTTGAATATGGTTTAAGTGCCCATTAACTTATTGAGAGGTTACATTTCATTTAAATAGAAATCTTTTATTTCTGTCCTGTTTTTCATTTTAGTTTCTATGTGGTCAAAAATATGACTTTATGGAAACAAACTCTAAGCTACCTGGTTTCCTCTAATGCTTAGAAAAAGACACCAATTTAAGTCTGAATATGAAATACTTCAGGTATGCTGATGAAATGAAGATGTCTCCCCTTTCTAGTTATTCCTCTTCCAAACTGCTAAATGTTGGAGTGCGCAAGGACTCCGCCCATATCCCTTCATTCCTCTGCATTCACTCATTTCCTTATTGATTATCTCAGTTCCACAACTTAGAGACCACATATCTGCTGATGACTCCCGGGTACCAAAAGATAGCACCTCTCCTACCACCACCCTAGTTCAGATCACTGCCTTCTCCTTCAGTAGCCCCTGACTGGCCTGTATGCTTCCATTCTGCTCCTCTAATGTCATTTCTCTTGCTACCAGAGTAATCTCTTTAAAAATTCCTTGCATTCAAAATAAAATCCAAACTACTATCAGGACCTTTTAGGATATTATTGGTACATAGCATATCCATCTTTGTGTTCTTATGTCTGAGTACTTTTTTCTCTGTAAAGGCTTTGACCTTCTTGCTGTTCTCAAACATACCATTTCTTTTCCCAGTCAAAGCCTTTAGTATTTGTTCCTTCTTTTTCTAATGTTCTTTTTCTCATTCTTCTCCCCAAATATTTGTACAGCTCACTTTCATCGTTTAGATCTCTGATTCAGATGTCGCCTTCTTACTAGGTATCTTTCCTACTCTCTTGTGTGGTTTGTGTCTTTCCCATTTGAATTAAGTTCATTGAGGATATTGAGCTCATCTTGTTTGTCCCTAAATTTCCCAGTCCCTAGAACTGGCTGCTCTACATAGTTCTAAGGGTAGATACTCAGTGAATGGGTTAAGTGAGTGAAGAGGTGGGTGCCCACGTGCTCACAGAATTTGGGGCAGTTTTGCAAATTCTCATAAGCTCTGACTCTTTCATATTAGAATGAGAATGGCAATGGTCTTATTGCTAATTTAGCTCCAAATATTTAATAACCAGGTCTTATTTGAATATAGCGTCGATATTTAACTACAGAAAGGCTCAGTTTATTCCATGATATTTCTGGAAAAG